CTCTCTCCATGTATTGCTGGAGTCTATCTTGCAGGATCTTGAGCATTACCTTACCGGCATGTGAAATAAGTGCCACTGTACGAAAGTTTGAGCATTCTTTAGCATTTCCCTTTTTTGGCATGGAGATATAAGTTGATTTTTCCCAATCTGATGGTCATTCTTGTGTTTTCCATATTTGCTGGCATATAGCATGCATCACCTTGAAGATTTTAAACAGTTCAGCTAGGATCCCGTCGTCTCCTGCTGCCTTGTTATTAGCAATGCTTAAGGCCCTTTTAACCTCACTCCTCAGGATGTCTGGTTCTAATTCACTCACCACACCATCAAAGCTATCCTCAATATTATCATCTGTTCTATACAGATCTTCTGTATAGTCTCAGCACCTTCTCTTGATCTCTTCAGGTTTAGATCCTTGCCATCTTTGTTTTTGATCATGCCCATCTTTGCTTGAAATTTACCTCTGGTGTTTCTAATTTTCTGGAAGTCAGCTCTTGTCCTTCCAATTCTATTGTCTTCTTCCACTTCCATGCATTGCTTGTTTAAAAATAGTTCCTTATCACTTCTGGCTAACCTATGGAATTGTGTATTTAATTGAGCATATCTCCCCCTATCACTGTTTCCTTTTGCTTTCTTTCTTGGGCTACTTCCAGTGTCTCAGCAGTCTGCATCTGCTGGGGAAAATTTGATTTTCTTGAGCCATTGTACATGGGTTAGACTGAAAGGCTTCAGAACCTTTGGGTAGCCCAAAATTGAGTCCCAAGACTACTGACTGGAGTTAGCCATTTCAATCATATTATGCCATCATCTAGTCAGCTGAAACAGCTCCAAGTCTGTTTCCCAACACATTTCAAAGACTTAATGTTTAAAGCCTTGGCTTAAAAGTATTTGGAGCCCGTTCACCTGTACGATTACATTATTTCAAACACACATTGCTGCTGTTGTGTGCCTTCAAGATTTTTCCAATTTATGGTGCCCCTAAAGACAGAACTATAATGGAGTTTTCTCAACAAAATTTGTTCAGAGAGGGATTGTCTTTGCCTTCCTCTGAGACTAAGGGAGGTCACTCAATGAGTTTCTATGAATGAGTGGGAATTCAAATGCTGTTCTCCAGAGTCATAGTACCAACACTCAAACCATGATACCATACTGGCCCCCATTCTATTAGCAGACATTCCGTATAAGTTCTGCTCTGAATGAAATCACTAACTGAACTGAGATATTCTGACAAAGGAAGAACAGGCCAAATTGATGAAGACCTTATTAAGAACATAGCACTTTAAAAGCTAAGTAATATTTTATCAGGATTGTTTGCATATGATAAATCATCTACGGGTACTATTTTCTTTGTCCTTTTATTTTCAGATATTTTATTATTTTCCCCTCTGCAAGCTGCTCAATTTTTCACTGAACCGGTCTTCCCAGCCACTACCAAAGGTCTCAATTTAGCCCATGTCGCTGTATTCCTTCATAGAATATTTTGACAATAGGCATCTAAGAGTAACCAAGATACTTTATCATGAAAGAACGAACACAGTTTCATGTGACAAAGAAGATCATTCTTGTATTTCAGGAGACCACATGCAGTGATTCTCCTATGAAATAACCGTGTAAGCAAAAACTGTCATCCAAATATATACACACATGAGATTCTGATAATACTACAGATCTGAACAACACAGCAGACTTCTTTAAAAGGTTTCATATGGATTTCATTTTCTGCAGCATTGATGAAAATTGCTCCGAAATAGGAGAAATATATGCTATAGAGAACAAATGAAAGCCCGTCCATCCAATGGTTGTATCTTTAAAAACTGCATATGAGAAGCTATTGTGCCCTCCCTGCATATTCTCACACATCACAGAACACACACACACAATTCCCCAATACCATAACTGGGTATCAAAAGCACAACAGGATTAAAAAGAAAAGACAGTAACTAAATCAGTCCATCAGTGCATTGTAAACTGAGCCCCTATACCGGTCAAGTGCAACAATTGTTTTTTTAAAAAATCAACTATTAAGAAGCTTTCAAAAGTTACACCTTTGGCAAAAACAACAAAAAAAAAGAGATCCGAAGTTTGCATTTAAGTCCCGTCCTCTTCTTTCCAGTGAAGTACCTGCCTCTTTCTGTGTAGGCACTATGCAACAGCAGAAGTCCACAAACCACTCCAGTCTTGGATGGTATTCTGGCTCAAACTGTTGCACATCTAAGACACCGTCCACTAAGAAGGGGAATTTCTTCGGCCTTCAGTCAAAAACAGAATGTGTTCATTCATTATATTATTCATCAAATCCATTGTTCAAAAGTCAAACCAGTCTTGATCCATATCATTGTCAAGAACACCGATCTTCTGCTGCTTCCCTATGGCTTGTAGGACGTTGTCAGGCAGTAGGCATGGCCAGTAACAATGCTGTGTGGCTCTTCAGATCCCCTTTAAAGACACTTTCTTGAACCAGTGGAATCTAGGACTAACTTCCTTCCTGCCCCCCTCTCCCACCATCCACTACTGATTACAAGTAAACAGTAAGAGTTGTCTGTCCCAGTAAGAGTACATACATGCTTAGTGTTGTCTCAGAAAGCTAGCTGTGACCTCTCTTTTGCTGGGACAAGCAGAGCATCTTCAGTGATGCCTCCTCAGAACTCTTTAATTTCATAGGAAAGTGTCTGTGTGGCTTAGGGACAAGCAACAGAACTTATGAAGTAAACTTAGGCATCATACTGAAATACTACCGGTGACACTCTTATTTCTCTCCAGTCAGGGGGAAAAAAAATAACAGCATGAAATGAAGACTGCGGGTTTTGAGCATCTAAAGAAAACCTACTCCAAAAGAATATTACTGCATCTATGCTGTGTTCTGTTCTCTATCCATTCATCATTGAAATGATGCAGAAGGCAGAGGACACAATGAATTAACATTTCTAGGTGGGGGCTGAAAGGGAACCGCATTGCATCCTAATTTTGTTGATAAAGGGCAGTCACTATGGCTTGTCCTGAGAGTAGAAAAGAGGACCTAGGAACCCCACTTGGTCTTATAGGAAACCCTCTCCTGTCCGGCGCAGAATTTTATGTTACTTTAACACAGTAAAGCTGAAGACTGGTTTCCATCACTGTCTGCTCTTCCTCCTCTTTTAACTAAAAATGTGCTTTAAATGAAGACATTGTGCCATCCGTCAGAAAGGCTGTCTTTAACAAAATATGGATTAGAGATGAGATAACTTTGAGGTGGATGTTTTCTAATGCTGAGGTAAAAAAGGAAGATTAAAATGTTGATTTTTTTTCTAGCTACTTCTCTCTCACACAGATGCCATTCATTATATATGTTTCTACTGCGTAAACAAAACACAACCAGAGTATTATGTGGCCTAATGCTCCCTCCCGTTCTGACAGACTCCTGATTTTAAACCTGAATTTAAATCTATCCCTTCATACAACATCAGATACCCTATTAGGAGGATGTGCCCGAGAGGTGGTGATATCAGCTTGAACTGTTTTCCTTCTTATATGTATTTTGTCGTATCTGAAGCATCAGTTAGGTACCATGTATCAAGCTCTGCAACCTGGCAATCAGGGAACACAAGAGTTCTTGCTGGTGGGTTTTTGTTTAGTAAGCATGCATTCCAAATGATTCAGAGAAGTTGAAAGAGGGATGAATGGGAGGTGTGGCGTGTAGAAGAACTGTGGGTGTGGACTGTAGAAGAACTGGGCCAGGAGCCCTTCAGTCTTTAAGTGCTGTGTGCAAAACTAACACTCAGTATCTTCCACCTGAAGAAGCAGCTCCAACATCCGTCACTGCAGTGGCCAAGGATTAGTCATACCGCCCCTTAATCATCATATTCAACAAAGGACCCACCTGTGGAGAACAAAGAAAAGAAAAATAATATACCAACTGGCATCTACAGAAATGTTAACTTGTCCAGTGATTTCATGGCTTTGGATTTCACCATGCTTCACAAGTATAAGCCCCAACAGAAAGATCCAAATATTTCTGGCTAACTGGAAAGCAATTTTGTCCCCAGCCTATTCAATTTTGAGGAAGGAAAACAGATCCGTGATTCAAGCTACAAAATGATTTTCAAGTCTGGCCCACTCTTCACAGTTCGGACAGCAGGATTCAGTAGGGTGGAGTAGCCCCCGGTGGCGCAGTGGGTTAAACCCCTGTGCCAGCAGGACTGAAGACCGACAGGTCGCAGGTTCGAATCCGGGGAGAGGCGGATGAGCTCCCTCCATCAGCTCCAGCTCCTCATACGGGGACATGAGAGAAGCCTCCCACAAGGATGATAAAACATCAAATCATCCGGTCCCCTGGGCAACGTCCTTGCAGACGGCCAATTCTCTCACACCAGAAGCAACTTGCAGACTCCTGACACGACAAAAAAAAGTCACTACCAGTTTTTCCTGGCACATAATACCAGTGCTGCAATGTAGCAACAACGTATGTTAAAACTCCAAAGACATTCTAAACATGGATGTTTGCATTCCTTGCAACACTTCTGAGCCTGGCACCTTGACATATTAAGTTTACCACTCTACTTTTATACTGGCTAAACAGTATAATTTCTCCAGTGGTGTGGGGCATAGACATCCTGTAATAACGTGGCATGTCTCATTAAGAGCCACATCCACTATTTTAACATGGTGAGATGTGTTCCACGCTGAGCATGCATATTCAAAAATTATGATGTTTAGCCAGTATTGCACCACCAGACAGCCGCTGGGAAGTAGCAGCCAATAATGAAAAGACCAAGGCAGTGACATCTCTGACCCATCCCTGTTTAAGTATCAGCTAACACGCCGTCTTAAATCAAGAAATAGCTTTCTAAGACCTACAGAGATACTCACAGGAACACCTCAGCAAGCGAGAGTCTAAAAGTGGCAGGTTAAAACCCAGAACCCCAATCAGTGGCTGATACCGGATGAGAAATTCCCTCCCAGGCACAAAGAAGACTGAGCGACTTGGAAGGTGCTGAACAGACTGTGCTCTGGCACCACGAGATGCAAAGCCAGCCTTAAGAAATGGGGCTACAAAGTGGAGTCCACAATATGTGAGAGTGGAGAAGAGCAATTCACAGACCACGCATTACAATGTAGCCTGAGCCCTGCCACACGCACAATGGAAGACCTTATAACACCACCAGAGGCACTCCAAGTGGCCAGCTACTGGTCAAAGGACATTTGGCATAATACCAAGGTTTTTACTTTGTCTTTTAAAATACTTTACAACTGTACCCTCAATTCGCTTCTGACACGATAAATAAATACTCTACTTTTATGTTCGAAAGAGAAATCAAATTACAGATAAAAAATAATGAGCCAAGACATATCTTGTTACTAAAAGCAGTAAAGATGTATCAGATTCTTATCATGCTACGTTAAAAGAGGCACAGTGTACTTTGTGGCCAATTTGCAGCCTACGTTCACCAGGCCACAGGGTCAAGTCTCTCAGCATCAATGGCAGACGACAAAGAAACTATAAAATCAGGTTGCCTGTGCTGTGGCCCTCTCATGATTCCATCTGAATACTAAGGCAAGAAGATTTTCAGTGCAAATCTAAGTTGGGAGGTCTTTTTGTTGTACCTCTTGGGGGTTTCCAAGGGCCTCGCCCAGCATTTTCTCTATGTTCCTCATTATTGCCACCTTCTGATGAGCCTTAAGAGGATATTCAATCCTTTTGGGGGTTGGGGCACCCTGAAGATAAAAACAGACACATACACACTTAAATTCCTCTAAAAATGCATGGGTAGACTCTCAAATAGGCATTCTGACATTAACCCATCCACCCTCATCCCCACCTAAAAAAAAACCTTATCAAGAAAATAAGAATCATAGAAAATGCATGGTATCATCTGAAAATGCAGTCTCGTGCTTTTATTTATTTATTATTATTTATTTACGTCACTTATATCCCGCCCATATCAGCCCGCAGGCGACTCAGGGCGGAAATGCAACATTAAGATAAAAGGAAAACCAGGGCTGCACAATTTTCCTATGATTTAGGTTGTTTGAAAAAATGATATATATAAAAATATGATGCCAATAAAAGTTTGGGACAGGGGAGGAAATGGGCATTCCATTGGCTGTCAAGCAAGACAGAGCTTTGTTTAGGCAAGTGGTTCTCAACCTGTGGGTCCCCAGATGTTTTGGCCTTCAGCTCCCAGAAATCCTAACAGCTGGTAAACTTAGAAGTCCACATCAGATTTGGGAGAGGTGATGCAGATTCAAAGCCATTTTAAACTACTCTTAAAGATGAATACTTGGAAATACATTTTACAGTGCAGCACAATCAATTCTAATTGCATCACTCTACAGATATGAGCGACGCCTGGCTTGAAAACAGTACGTGTAAAAGGGATCTAGAAGTCTTAGTAGACGACAAGCTGAGCATGAGTAAATGATGTGGTGTGACCACTAAAAAGCCCAATGATCTAACCTGCAACAATGTAAGTATTGTGTCTAGATCAAGGGAAGTCATAAGGGTAAAGGTAAAGGTTTCCCCTGACATTAAGTCTAGTCATGTCCAACTCTGGGAGGTGGTGCTCATATCCATTTTTAAGCCAAAGAGCCGGCGTTCACAGACACCTCTAAGGTCATGTGGCCAGCATCACTGCATGAAGCGCCCTTACTTTCCCACAGAAGAGGTACCTATTGCTCTACTCACACTTGCATGTTTTCAAACTGCTAGGTTGGCAGAAGCTGGGGCTAACAGCGGGAGCTCTCCCTGCTCCCTGAATTAGAACTGCCAACCTTTCGGTCAGCAAGTTCAGCAAATCAGTGGTTTAACCCGCTGCACCATCAGGGGACCCTAGGAAAGTCATAGTACCAATCTATTCTGCTTTGATCAGATTTTATCTGGAATGCTGGGTCCAAGTCTGGACACAATTCAAGGAAAACAGTAGTAAATTGGAAGGTGCCCAGAGAAGAGTGACCAAAATTATCGAAGGTTTGGAAACAAAGCACTATGAGGAGCTGCTTAAATAGCCAAGTATGTTTATCTTGAAGAAAAAAAGGCTCAGAAGTTAAATGATAGGCATATTTAAATAACAGGAATGATGTTACTTTGAGGAAGGGTCAAGCTAGTTTTCTGCTGCTCTGGAGACTAAGAGCAATGGATTCAAATTGCAAAACAAACAAATGAAAAGATTCCACCTAAACCTGAAGTGGTGAAGTCTCCTCCTCTGAACGTTTTTAGACAGAGTCTGGATGGCCATCTGTTGAGAGTGCTTTAATTGTGTTGTCCTACATAGCAGGAGGGTGGACTGAATAGCCCTGTGGTCTCTTCCAACTCTATGACTCTATGAGAGTATTTGTAGCATCTGCTATTAATTTCAAAAAGTTTTCTTCCCTGACAGCATTGCAAGTTAAACAATTGCTCACCTTGTACCAAAAATTCACAGTTATGGTCGTTCCTCCATTCAGCAAAGACTCAATATGATGCCACCTAAATAGAATTATAGACAGGACAGTGTCAACACACAGGATTCATCTGAGAACTCAGACAATTTTAAATTGGGGCATCTCATATCAGTAGCACCAAGGAATAGGTTTTTGCCCTTACAGTCCTCTTTAAATTGTTTTAACTCCCTCCTCTAGGAAGGAAAATTTTGAAATTATACTCTGTTTGTTGAAAAATTTATATTCTTTACCATTAAATGGGGAAAGGGCGCTATTTTGTAAAGGTAACATCCAAGAGAAATCCCTAGGAGAGTCACAGTATTTTCGCCAAAAAGGGCTGTGTGGAAAGGGAGATGTGTCCCAAAATATACCTTGCGGGGCAAATGCAGGCCTAGGCCCATTCTTGTACACCTGGACTCATAAAATGTTCATGCTAAGCAAATATACTGTAACTATCTGTTATTTTGGGGGTTGGTTTAAGTTACCCAGTTGATCATACTCCAAGAATAATTACATCTATCTGCATACATATTCTTTTTGAGAAAATGTAAAAAACAGAATATGCTTCCCTCCTAAATAGTAGCTTGAAGTCTGCTCAGATGTGCTCTAACTGAAATTATTATCGTGAACTAGAAGCTCTAAACTTCCCTGTCCTATGCATTATTTTAATGTCTGCCAGATTCCTTCTCAGCCCATTTTCCATTCAAATTCAATGTACACTAATACAGAATAAAAGGAGGTGGTCACAGCACTATGATATCAAAACATCACATGAAATCACTTTCAGCTAGAAATTGCTAAAATACAACCATTGCTTACTCTTCCTAGCAAGGTAAAACTACTTGGGAGGAAGTAGACTAGCCTTTGCCCCTTATTATTTTTCATTGATGGTTTAAGATTAATGCTCCAGGATAACCCAATACAGTGTTCCCTTGCTACTTTGCGGTTCGCTTATTGGGGACTCGGTGTTTCACAGGGACCACTGTAGAGCTACTCCCTGTTCTTTCCTCGCCAGGCTGGGCGCCCAAGGGCACCTGACCTCCAAGGTGGGGAGCAGCGGAGGTGGCAAGGAGGAGGAGAGGGCCTCAGCGGCAGCATGCTCTTCCTTGTCCCTCCGCTGCTCCCCACACCTTCATCGCCAGGCTGGGTGCCAGGCTTGGGCACCCAACCTGGCGAGGAAGGGACCTCAGAGGAGGGAAGCAGCGGAGGTGGAGAGGAGGAAGAGGGCCTCAGCGGCGGTGTCCTTCTCCTCATACTTCCGCTGCTCCCTGCTCCTTCCTCGGCAAGCTGGGCACTAGGCTTGGGCACCCGAGGCCTCCGAGGCAGGGAGAAGCGGAGGTGGCGAGGAGGAGGCCGCCGCAAAGTAGGGACACTCCACCCACACAAGTGGGCAGAGCGTCCCTACTTCGTGGATTTTTATTTATCACAGGTGGTCCTGGCACGGAACACCCACGATAAATGAGGGAATACAGTAATATGTCTTCCTTGAACAACTTTAGAATAATATTATACAGCTGCATCAGAGGGCATGAATTCAACAATGGTTCAGACCAGGCATCCTCAAACTGCGGCCCTCCAGCTGTTTGGGCCTTCAACTCCCAGAATTCCCAACAACTGAACCAGCTCATTAGGGCTTCTGGAAGTTGAAGGCCCAAACAGCTGGAGGGCCAAAGTTTGAGGATACCTGGTTCAGACAGTCTTCCCTATTAAAGCTTGTAGCAAAATTCCATGGTAACAGAATATCAGTTCAAAGCCCACAACACAGAAAAATGTGACATTTGTATTCTGACTTCCATGGCTACCAAAAATTGTAAGGGACATTTTCTATTTTGGTATCTTCTAGAAAAATATCACCTTGCATTTGCAAAACATTTATCCACTGTATCTTGAATGTATTGAGGCATTTTCCCATAAGTTAATTTAGGCAAACATTAATTCTAGGCCCAGCTTTGGGATTATAGTAACCATTAGTTCTTTCTACAACACCCCATTCACAATCTATGTTCATTACCAGTACATAGGGATATAAAGGACATCGCCTGGGCCAACCACAGTCTCATATCCAACTACATTCTGGAAATTTGGAAACCTCTCGTAGTCAGGGTTGTCAAAGTCAACCTAGGAAGAAGAGACAAAACATATAACTTAGGGGAGATGAAGCCATAAACCAGTGATGGGCAACCTTTTGAGCATGGTGTATCAAAATTTGCCAAAAAACTGAGCATAATTCAGGTGGTGTGTCACTTCTAGAAAAAAACCATAATTTCGCAATATTTAGTTTAAATAACAAAAAATATATAATTGTAATATATACCTATATTTAATAAACCATAACCTCATTATATTAAATATAGTTATATATTACAATTATATATTTTTGTTATTTAAACTAAATAAAAAAATATTGCTTTATTGACTATTCTAAAGCCTTTGACTGTGTGGATCATAATAGTCAATGAAGCAGAAATAGGTGTTTTTCTGAAACTCCTGTCCTTTCTCCATTATCCAAACAGGATGCTCTGCCCCACAACTCTGTTATATGAGTTCCATTTAAACTTCCTACTCCTATTTTATCTCATCAGTCTGTTTTTATTCGGAATATGTGGCCTGCCCATTGTCATCTCTACTGTGATTGTGTCTATTGGTATTTTATTTTATTATTATTACTGTTATTATTTTATTATTATTTTAATGTCATTTTGATAATTTTGCTGTTGTCTGATGTATATGCTTTGATTTTATTGCTGTATTATGTTGTCCAGGCTTGGCAATGAGTCCTCATTGGGGAGATGGTGGCAGGGTAGAAATAAAGTTTATTATTATTATTATTATTATTATTATTACTATTATTACCAGCATCCAGATATCGACCATTTGATCTCTGGTTCCTCTGCCTTTTCTGAACCCAGCTTGTCCATCTGGCAACTCTCTCTCCATGTCTTGCTGGAGTGGGGTTAGGCTTTTGGATATCTATATCTATTCCTAGAGAGCCCTCAACCCCTGAGGGTGCCTTTAGCCACAGTTGTGGGTGAAACGACAGGAGAGCATGCTTCCGGAGCAGGGCCAGGCAGCCGTATGGAATGCTCGCCATATCCTCTCCGCTTGCAGCCTGGACAGCCTGTTTTGGCAGCAACAGGCCGAGAAGTCTCCCAAAGTCCAGTGCAGCCTAGTCAGGCCGAGCCTCTGAACTCAAGGCTGGCCAGATGCCTCAGGCCGGCCAAGGGGAGGGAGGCCTGGGTTCAGGACGGCTCTTGGCCTCACCCTTCCTCCCTCCCTCCTCCTCCTCCTGGAGGTGCTTCATCCCGAGGCCAGATCCCTCCCTCGCTCCCGCCCACCTTGAGGAGGGCGCCCGGTGGCCTGCTTTCTCCTCAGCTGTGCTTCTGCGTCCATTGTGGGCGCGAAGCATTTTGGGCACAAGGCCCACGCCGAGGAAAGGCCCGCTTACTCTTTAAACATGCAAATGAGCCCCACGGGAGGGAGGGCAATCAGAAGCGAGGCCGCTCCGCAGAGACCCCGCCCCTTTGCTTCTGCTCTGAAGGGAGGAAGAGAGGGCGGCGGTGACATCACCCAGGCCCCACCCTCTCCGCAGCCGGCACCGTTTTCGGAGGAAGAAATGGGAGTGACGACGGAGGCAAAGAGGAGGAGGCCTGTTTGGGAGACGAGGGAAGGAAGGAAGGAGGGAAAAAAAGGAATTTGAGTGAGGGAGGGGTGGGCGGCCGAGCGCGTGTCAGTAGAAATGGCTACGCGTGTCACTAGTGACACGCGTGTCATAGGTTCGCCATCACGGCCCTATAGCATGCTTTTTCCATCCTCAGAAGAAATAGAACATTTACAGGTAAGGGCTCATTAAAATTGTCTGAATATTAAACAAAAGTAGACTGGGGACCAAACTCTACAGGTAACAAATAAGAAAGTGAGAGCACATCATCATTGCAATTTTATGGCATTGCAGACAGCAAAACAGTCTTACTATCTCCACTTTTATTAAATCCCTGAGCTGCCATCCAACTGAGCTTTCCTGAGCAATTAATATGTTGTCAAAACCAAAACAAGGTAAGAGATGTGGCAGAACCTTAGATAATTGTTTTGACAAGTTTGCAGGCACTTTGAGGATAAAATTATTGATATTCCAGTTGTGATGTTGCAATAGATTTTAGTACTATTGTCATGTCAATTTCAGTTGAGATATTCTAATGGATTGTTGAAGGCTTTCAAGGCTGGAATCACTGGGTTACTGTGAGTTTTCCGGGCTGTATGGCCTGTCAAAGATGTGGGTGAAACATCACTGAAACATCAGGAGAGAATGCTTCTGGAACATGGTTATACAGCCTGGAAAACTCACAGTAACCCACCTATTCTAATTGAGTTTAGTATTATTATCATGTCATTAACATCTGGCAACACCTAGCAAAAGGTGGTAATAAAACCACTCCAGACAGTTCCACATTGGGGGAAAAACCTCTTTCAGCCTGGCTGCAAGTCTGGGCTTAGCACAGAAACAGCCTAGTTCACCCTGATGGATAGCCACAACAGGGATGCATGACCCTGAAAAATCTTTTGGCTGCATTAATACATAAACAATGCTACTACTTAAATAGCTGTGTGGCTTGGGGATAGAATGTAGGGCAATATAGTGGTTCTGCTCTTGAGGATTTCTGATTAATCTCATAGAAACAGGTGCTGAATTCTCCAAGGGTCCATCTTACACTTCAAACTTTTGAGCAGAAAGGGAAACCCACAACTCATGAGCTGAATTTGGAATACCAGACCTTGTCATGTGACCTATGCAACTCAACTGGGAATTAGATTTGGTCCATCTTTGTTTTTCCCAAAGAAAGCTGGCCTCACATGACATGGCTAGCCTCAAATGACAAAAGGCTATGTAGGTAATGATGAAGTTTCTTGAAAAGCAGATCAGCCTCTCCACTGCAAAAAAGTGTGCAAAGCAAACACTGACGAGTCTGACATCAAATTCACTTTGAATACTGTTTATCTGAAGTGCCTCCTTTTGCCTTCTATTTTTAATTTGGGAAGCCTATAACCTTGACATCCCAACCAAGTGCTACTGTGGGTTTCAACTTCAAAGGATTTCCTTCTCCTATGTACAGGAAGCCTCTCAAGTGAATTAAATAAACAAATGCAATTTAACATAAAATTACAAACAAAATAATTACAAAGTATTATTTTAAAACAGTAGAGGAAAATGTGGAATCGGCCCTGTTATAAAAGCTCATTCTGTGGTTGCCAAAGGCCTGTCTAAATAAATATGTATTTGCCTGCTGACTGAAAAATATCAAGAGAAGAAGCCAGCCTTGTGTCTCTAAATAAGAAGTTCCAGAATCTGGGAACCACCAGCAAAAAGCCCTTTCTCACATTAAGGATTCATTTGTACTGTAGAATTAACACCATTTTATTGCCATAAAGGAATGCCATAGTTCAATGCTAAGGAATCCTGGGAGTTTCAGTTTGGTGATGCACCAGCTTTCTTTGGCAGGTAAAATGAAAGATCTGTAAAACTGTAATTCCCATCACCCCAAGGAGCTGCGGTGGCACAATGGGTTAAACCTTCGTGCCAGCTGAATCACTGACCTGAAGGTCCGCGAGACAAGGTGAGCTCCCGTATATCGGCCTCAGCTTCTCATGCTGAAACATGAGAAAAGCCTCCCACAGGATGGTAACACATCCCAGCATCCCGGGGGCAATGTCTTTGCAGATGCCGATTCCCTGATACCAGAAGTGACTTGCAGTTATCTCAAGTCGCTTCTGACATGAATCACCCCATAGTTTTGAACAATGACTGGTAGTGTCAAATTGCATTAATTTTACTGTGCACATGCACACTCAGTATGTATATCTCAGATTTTAGCCAGAGCTAGAAAAGAACCTGCCTTGAAAATATCAAAACTGAGAAAGGTTCATATTGCAGAATACAGCCCGTCATGCAACTAGAACCATAATGTACAATTTCACTGAAGCACTTAGCTCCCTTCTACACTGCCATATAATCCAGATTATTAAAACAAATAATCCACATTATCTTCTTTGAACTGGATTATCTGAGTCCACACTGTCATATAACCCAGTTCAAAGTAGATACTCTAGATTTTATATGGCAGTGTAGAAGAGACCTTAGACTGCCAGAACTATCTGGGGAAATTGCAAAGGAGTCTGTTCTCCAGTTCTGAATTCCTTTTTGCTTGTTTCCCTTCCATAAGACCCCAGATGCTTCATTTTCTATTTGATCAGTAGAAAGATTTTATCCTCCACACTCCAATGTCATGGAGGGAATTTGGCACAAATGTCACCTTACCTGACTCTGCCGGTCACATGGATGATGCACAGGATAGGGATACAGGCACTCAAACTGGTCAGGGGAGAACAGGATACACCGCTTGTATCCCTTAATCTGAGCAAAGAAATTCTGCTGTTCATCATAATGAGCTGGAGTCACATTTCCTACACAAAGAAAGGCCGAGACAGTCAGCATGAAACAAAAAACCTTGTCCTATCGACTGACTTTGTCCATAACAAGGGCATAGTCCTATTACAAAATAGAAGAAGTGGGATGAGAATCCGAAATTAATTCAGAAAACAAAACAGACTTCTCAGCAAGTTCACATCATAGCTGCCGTGTTTCCACCGTTTAAGAAACGGTGCTCTAGACTGTAAGTGTATGCAATGTTTTATATGTTTTAATGTGCATTTAATTTTAATTTTAAACTTAAGTGTATTTTAACTGTTTGTTGTCCAAAGGCATTGAATCGTAGCCATATGTAAAGCAACCTTGAGTCCCCTTTGGGGTAGAGGAAGGTGGGATACAAATAGAGTAAACAAATAAATAATAAATAAATATGTGGGAAAATAGTGACGTACAACCAGTTCCTAGCTCTCCCTTCTAGACCCCCATGAGCCTGAAAAAAGCCTCCAACTAGAGACTTAATTGTAATGAAATTAGGGAGGAAGGGCAATATAGGAATCACAGGTGTAGACGGAACTGTTTTGCTACCTGCCACAGATTAGCTAGTACTTCTTTCCTGCCCATCAGTGGCACACATTTCATGGAAAGCCACGAGCAAGGAAATGCACTCTTTTGTGTAAAAACACTCATCACCATTACAACAACAACAAATAATAAAAATAATAAAAATAATAATAATAATAATAATAATAATAATAATAACAATAACTTTATTTATAGACCACCCTCTATAACTGATTCAGGGCGGTTTACAAAAAAAAAAGGCAAACAGTCAATACTGTAATCAACAAAGAGAAAGAAATCAAAGCAATATAGTCAACATGAATAGACTTATAACTACCAATATAAAATACTAATGACAATACTAATGGGTTGTTGTGAGTTTTCCGGACTGTATGGCCATGTTCCAGAAGCATTCTCTTCTGACATTTCACTTGCAACTATGGCAGGCATCTTTATCCTGCATCCATAGATGCAGGTGAAATGTCAGGAGAGAATGCTTTTGGAACATGGCCTTACAGCCCGGAAAACTCACAACAACCCAGTCATTCTGGCCATGACAGCCTTCAACAATACATTGGACAATACTAACATTTAAATAAGCACAGTTACAATAAAAGCACAGTATCCCAAAGAGTTAAAATGACGAATATGCAAAAGAGCAAACCAAAACCATATAAATATCCATAATATATCAATATATCAATACTCTAAAGGCAGCAATCTTTACTGATTTCAGTAGCTAAACACTCTGACCTCTATAAAAACTATATAAAACATATGGACCTCCAGATATTCTTGAATGCCAATTCCTAGCATTCCTCATCCTTAGCTATTCTGGATAGGGCTGCTGGGAATTGTAGTCCAATAACATATGGAGAACTAAACAATTCCAACCCCTAAAGTGAGTGAGAAGGAGGTTTTTTTCTTGAAAAAGCCCTGCTTCAAAAAGCACACTAACTTAACTGCCCTTGACTTCAGTCTTCATTTCTCAAATTGATATTGGATATTTATGTTCAAAATATTCAAAAGTGCTACACTAAAAAGGTATCCAAATAAAACACATTGAAATTGTCAAAACCACAAGAAGAAATATAAACGTGTTACCTTCCATGCCAATCAATAACAAGTTGGATGTCAGCTGACCCCAGCCTCGTTTTGCCTGCTGCCTATTAATCCAATTCCAATTAAAGCCGAGGAAGTCCACCACAATTTTCCTCCCAACTGTATCATTTAGAGTCTGTTGCAGATACAATCTGTGTCCAGAAAACAAGGAAAGAGAAATGTTAGCGCTGTGTGTTGAAATGAAGACCTCATTCATTTGATTCCCCCTTCAAATTCTTTATCAGGGACAAATGCATATTAAAGAGGGATTCAACTTGCTATAGCAAAGTATTTCAAGGAAACAACTCCACTTCAAAGATAAGGGGGCAAAACTCCTCTTGATCATTTTGCTAGCCTTTCAATAAGAGCGAAACAACTCAAGATCAGTCCAGGTTTTTGAAAACGCCTTCAAAATATTCAGCAGGTAATTTAACTAGCCCTTATCTAGTTGTATGGATTTCATTTTGCTGTTCTTATATTTTATAGTTTTATTTGTAAATCACTCAATACTTTTGGCTAAACAACTGGGTCAACAGTTAATACACAAATAAACAAGTCACACCCATACTGGCATAGTCATCCACTGGTGCCCAAAGACATCTTTAAGGACTATAATCCCACATTTGATTTCAACTGCAGCCTAAATTTTGTGATGCAGTCATTCGTCTGTAATAATAGCTGAAGTAGAAGCATCTACGAGGGGAAGAAGGGATTTACTACAATTGCTTCTATGCTATAGGATGGCCTCTGGTGGACATTGACACAATATTAATTTCGCAATTGTTCAGAGACTATGAAAAACCTATTGTTTCCAAAGGCTTTATGGCTTCAGCTATGTCAGGGATGGGGATGCTACTGGGATACAGCTCCTGTCAGACATGGCCAGCATAATAAATGACGCAGGGCAATAGGAACTGCAGTTCAACATTGAGGACCACATGTTCCTCAACACAACCAATAATACAGCAAATTATTCTGGTTTCAGTTGCTAATGATTTCTTTACTTTAATATTACTTTAATTATATTGTCTGTTTTGAAGAGAAGCTGAAAGCCATTTAAGTTTTAATCAGAATATTAAAATTGATTCCAGGTAGATAAGGCGTGCTTTGCAACACTAAAATCACTAGGATAAGTTAAAGGTAAAGCTTTTCCCCTTGACATTAAGTCTAGTCATATCCAACTCTGGGGAGTGGTGTTCGTCTCCATTTCTAAGATGAAGAGCCAGTGTTGTCCATAGACGCCTCCTAGGTCATGTGGCCAGAATGACTGCATGGAGCACCATTACCTTTCCTGCTGGAGCAATACCTATTGATCTACTCACATTTGAATGTGTTTGAATTGCTAGGCTGGCAGAAGCTGGGACTAACAGCAGGAGCTCACCCCGCTCATCACATTCGAACCACAGACCATTCGGTCAGCAAGTTCAACAGCTCCCCATTGTTAGCAATAACCAAATGATAGCCCAGTAATTTCAACAAGTGAAACTAATTAGTCTGGCTCGAATTCATCTTTAAAATTACTTATCCTCACCTATATCAGCACTGCCAACAGTCTAATGATGACTTTCCTCATAATCAGGATAACCAGGAAACAAACATTCCGGTCATCTTACTCTAACCCAGGCCCTTTCCACATAGCTGAATAAAATCCCACATTTTCTGCTTTGAGCTGGATTATATGGCAGTGTGGACTTAGATAACCTAGTTTAAAGCAGATATCATGGGATTTTCTGCCTTGATTATCTGGGTTATATGGCTGTATGGAAGGGCCCTTACTCTTCTTTGAAGCCAGCTTCCCAGTTTCTGTATTTCCCCATGAAATTAGAGAAATTTGACAGCACTAAAAATAATTTGGCATAGAAAAGCTTTATTATTACTACTACTACTTATATCCTGCTTTTTCTCTTTAAAAAAGGCCCAAAGCAGCTAACAGTTAAACAAATACAATATACAGTTTAAGACCTAGAAAATATACATTTTTTTCAAATTAAATATTGAAACTATTAAAATAATCAGTTAAAACCATTGAAACTAATTAAGACCTGATTCACATAGCCAAAACACTTCACTGCACCCGTGGCTCAATCTTAAAATTGTTCTTCATCTTAACATCCTAAGTGCTCCCCAAAGTAGCAAATCTAAAAATGCCTGGCCAAGTTAGTTACAATGGCTAGATAAAATTGAACTCTGTTTCTTCCCATTCTTTTTATTTATTACTGCTCCTGGTTATTATTACAACACTGCTGGTTTGATTTTTGTTGTTTTCTATCTTGAAAAAAATACGCATTGAAAGGTCATTGAGAAACAAAACAAAAAAAACACTGATACATTAAGCCCTATTCTTTTGCAGTTGATGCTAGCAGAAGTTAACCTGTTGCTTTAGAAAAAAAGCTTGTGCTGGGTTTAAAAAAAGGAAAGACCTTCCAAATTAGGAGGCACAAACGCTAACTACAGAAATGTCAAGATCCACTTTGGATAAATATACATTTTTTTTTCATGTCAGGAACGACTTGAGAAACTGGAAGTCGCTTCTGGTGTGAGAGAATTGGCCGTCTGCAAGGACATTGCCCAGGGGATGCCCTGATGTTTTCCCATCCTGTGGGAGGCTTCTCTCATGTCCCCACATAGGAAGCTAGAGCTGACAGACGGGAGCTCACCCTGCTCCCCGAATTTGAACCGCTGACCTTTCAGTGAGCAACCCTGCCGGCACAAGGGTTTAACCCATTGCACCACCGGGGGCTCCTAAGAAATGATTTTGGAGGTCCTGTAATTAGACCAACTCCAGCAGGAAAGACAAATTCAAGAAAGTATAGCATACCCTAGGTATCATAGCAAATCACTAGGAATGAAATACGTGATTTGCTTTTTGTTAGCTTTGCAAGAATACCTGGATTATAACCTACAACTAAAACAAAAATGTCAAGATGCTCTAGAATCAAACTGGTTTTTTTTTTCAAAACAGCAAAATCAACAATGACACTGAACCCAAGAAGAGTAAAACTAAAACAACAGCCCCAAGAAATAACTCCCACATTCACTCAAGGAAATATCCTGTCCTCAGACATTACCTTTCTCCACTACCCTGCTGCTGGATTTCTTGGAGCTGCTCAACAAAATTACTAAATTTCATCTCTTCCCTGCTTGACTTTGGCTTGAAGTTCTTAACATTTGCCATTTTCTTTTCATCGTAATACAAAAACTTGTGAGTGCTTGCTTTGTAAACGGAGAAGTCCCCACTCCCAATGTTTTCCTGAAGATAGTCCAGGTCCCATTTCAGGGCAGGATATACCAAATTTGTATCGGTCAGAACAACTGGCTCCTGGAAAGACAATACAAAGTGAATTAATGCAGAATCCTAAGGGGATAGATAAGAGATTTATAAGTCGCAATCACATGTATTCTGAATGATTTTTTAAAAAGGAATAAGCAATGGGAAGAAATCAGAGAAAGGAGCTTCAAAAAGTAGCCACAAAGAAAATAGCCACTAATTCCATTGTGCTTTTATCCCAGCAGTTGGCGAGAGGCTTCTTCTGGTGTGGTCTCTGCAGAAGAGAAGAGCAACCAGCATCTGCTGTATTTATTCCCCTCCCAAAGGATCATCCCCTTTACCTCGTGTGTTGTGTCTTATGAGATTGTAAGTCTTAGAGCAATGAATGAACGGTCAAATTACTAATTCTTCAGGGAGCCTTTTGAGTCGAGGGATGGGGGGCAAATATTCTACATCAGGGGTCCTCAAACTAAGGCCCGGGGGCCAGATGCGGCCCTCCAAGGTCATTTACCCGGCCCTTGCTCAGCTTCAACCTAAGTCTGAAACGTCTTGAAAACACACAACAATAACAACAATCCTATCTCCTCAGCCAAAAGTAGGCCCATACTTTACATTGAAATACTAATAATTTTATATTTGTTAAAATTGTTCTTCGTTTTAATTATTGTATTGCTTTTAAGTGTTCTTTGCACTACAAATAAGATATGTGCAGCGTGCACAGGAATTCATTCATGTTTTTTTTTTTTCAAATTATAATCCGGCCCTGCAACAGTTTGAGGGACTGTCACCTGGCCCCCTGTTTAAAAAGTTTGAGGACCCCTGCTCTACATAAACATTCTATGGATTCCTTCTATAAGCACAACCTGACAAACCAAAAGGAGAAGCTTCAGAAAGCAAAGAAAACACCACAATGGAATTGACTACTTAAGGCTGTGTTCTAGGTGATGCAAAATCTCCAATGTTTATTATTGATCATTAATTTATACTTGCATGTTTCTCCAAGATTCTATAGGAGGAGGCAGCCACAGGGTTTCAGATAATAATAATAATAATAATAATAATAATAATATACACCAAAAACTAGAAGACCCAAGATTCTGTAGGAGGCAGCCAAAAATCTGATTTGTGTTTCAGCATAATAATAATAATAATAATAATAATAATAATAATAATAATAATATATTTATTTATTTATATCCTGCTTTTCTCCCTCAAAGCAGCTTACAACATATTAAAATCTTGTAAACAACAACTCATATACATCGATGATCAGTATAAAACATCATAAAATAAGCAGTTTAAAACAATAATATACATTCACATTCTTGTGGCATCATGTCAGATTATGTCACACTTTGTTCCAGTCCATAAACATTATGATGTTTCTTATCACTCCAGCTTAGTCTGCTTCACTAAAGGCCTGCACTTTCATGGATATCGGTCCACTTTCTCAATTTCAAAACAGATCAGCGTTTCTTCAACTTTCCCACATGGGACCCCTTTCTGCCCAATAAATGTTTACGTAACCTCAGATATACAAAATAGCTATAAAATTCAAATATTTACTATGTTGCTGTGAGTTTTCCGGGCTGTATGGGGACATGAGAGAAACCTCCCACAAGGATGGTTAAACATCAAAATTTTGCCTGGGCAACGTCCTTGCTGACGGCCAATTCTGTCACACCAGAAGCGGCTTGCAGTTTCTCAAGTCGCTCCTGACATGACAAACAAACAAACAAAAAAACAAAACAAACCTCTGAGGATGCCTGCCATAGATGTGGGTGAAATGTCAAGAGAGAATGCTTCTGGAACATGGCCATACAGCCCTGAAAATTCACAGCAACCCAGTGATTCCGGTCATGAAGGCTTTTGACAATGCATCAAACATTTACTGAAAACAAATCAGCATTTTCAAGGTTTGTTAAACAGACTGATTTTCCTTTTTATGAGATACAGCTGAATCCTCTTCTGCAGAGTCCACTCTAAAAATTGCACAACAGATTTGTGTACATGTCTAAAAGAAACACTAGGTGACATTCAGAAATAGTTTGGGATCCTAACATTGAGCCAAGAATACCCCAGTTTAAG